GGGGATGGGTAGGGCATAATGAAGAGAAATAAAAAGCACACTTGACCTATGGGAAGCCCCGCCCAGTGGGCGGGGCACTCGCCGAAAGTTTGGGGTTCCGCAGAAAAATGTTCATAATTCGCTTCCGGAGCAGCTTAAAGATGGGGAAAAAAGGGAATAAGGTTAGTAAGGAGTCGCCAGACTAACTGTGGCAGACACATCCAAAATGGGCGGGGCGTACTCAAGGTGGGCGGTGCTTCTCGCAAAATTCAGTAACCCGGTTCGCGAGAGTGTTTGGAAGTCGCAAAAAACTCAGTGTAGAATGTAAATATCTGGCGAATATAGGGCACGCTCAAAGTGTGTTGAGACCCGCCCACAGTGGGCGGAGCTTGCCCTAAATCGCAGGGTATTCATTTTAAGTTTGTAGCTCGGTTCCAGAACACTCCAGACACCGGAAAAAAGTGGACTAAGGTCAGCAGAGGGTCGCCGGTGAGGATGTGGGGCAAAAACATTGTGGGCGGAGCCTGCTCCGAGGTGGGCGGAGCCAGACAAAAAGGGTCTGTAAATGGCTCCAGAGCACTTCAAATTGAGAAATGTGGGGTGTACATATTGTGGGCGGGGCCAGCCCGAGGTGGGCGGAGCCAGACGAAAATTCTCTAAAACTGTCCCAGAGCACTTCAAAGACCGGAAAAAAAACGTGGATTAAGGTCAGCAGAGGGTCGCCGGTGAGGACTGTGGGGCACAAAAATTGGGGCGGGGCCTGCCCGAGGTGGGCGAGTTCACAGGACATAAATCTGTAAATAGCCTCAGGTACTTCAGAGCACTCCAGACACCGGAAAAAGTGGATTAAGGTCAGCAGAGGGTCGCCGGTGAAGATTGTAGGGCACAAACATTGTGGGCGGGGCCTGCTCCGAGGTGGGCGGAGTCAGACGAAAATCTGTAAAATAGCTCAAGAGTAGTACTTCAGACACCGGAAAAAAGTGGAGTACAGAACAAAAGGCGGATATCAGTTGAGTCTAGAAATATGTGAAAGAAAATACGCGCGGCGAAGCCGCGCCCGCCCGGCGCAGCCGGGCCGTATCAGAAGGAGGCGCGCCGGCGTTAGCCGGCGAGCCGACTGGTAACGCATAAAACATACCTTTTTCATAGCTCTCCATTCTGGTGTACGAATGATGTTTTTATGGTGAACCGTAAGATATCGTATGACAGCCTAAATACCAAAAGTACAGTTTATGCGAATGGTAAGGCACGTTTTCGCTCAAGCATACCTGTTTTAGCAATGTGGCAGTGTAAGTGTCTGCAAAGACAGCGATGGAGGTGATATTCTTCTGCGTTATTGTATTTGAAATTATCCGTTCACACTGTTCTTTCAGAGGAAGCACTTCGTATTTATCAGCTGAAATAAAAGGGTATAAGATATAAAGACATATTTTGAAGAAAGACCTACCTAATAAAGCTATGCATGGCAACTCAAGGAAGAAGTGATTGTCGCCGCATGATTTATGTATTCAGTTTATACATGCTGCTTTTTGAAATCGCGGTATTTGGTTCACCAAAGAATAAGAGCTTTAGGCTATCAGATCGACTGCGGTTCAAGTTACAATAATAGGGACTAATAACCCTGGAACGGAGAAACCTAAAACACTTCTTGTTCATCAGTGGGGATTACTCTCTCTACTTTGTGACGTGTAGAAGAAACCATTTCCACTCGCTTATTTCATTGACGTTTTCGGACCCCAAACCTTTCTTCAGGTCTACAACTTTATACAATGCCTACAACAACATCATATAAGCCACTACAGATATATATTAGGTTGGCGGGAAAGTTTTGTCACTTATTTCCGAACTCAAATTACTTGCTCATTAGCAAGAGGGGTAACCGGTAATGTAAGCTCTTGTACAACAAGGAGTGGTCTCTCTGTTAGTACCACTCGCTTGCCTCTTGCTCCTTCTTCTGCAATATGCACAAGGATTTTATCCGCTACCATCAGCCCCGACCCATCCAACAACTTCCACAAACTATTTCAA